CTGCAGTGGGGACAAGGGGACAACCAGGAGGGGGCAGGAGCGGGGGCGGGGGGCTCTGAGACACTGGTCATGCTGTTTCTTGATCTGGACGACGGTGACACTTTGAAAATTGACTCAGCTTATACACTTATAATTTGTTGTGCCCCATTTTGTACAAATGCTATATATGCTTAAAAAAAATTATCGTAAAGGGGAAAAAGGCTTATTTTTTAAATACCGCTGCAATGCCCTAAGCCACACAAAAACAGAGGCTAAGGAATGGGGTCCTTTAAATCTCCTCTCGCTTACGCATGACCGTCGAGGATGCATGACATATTTTTGGAGCTCAAAGCTCTCCCAGGCACACTGCACACCGATTTCACGCCCTAACCGAGTAACAGCAGCTCCTCATCAGTTGTGCTATTAGGCTGACGGCCAGCGGGCCTCAAAGCCAGACTCCCACAAGTGAACGGGTGGAATTCTTCATACACGCAGCGCATGGCTCATAAGCAAGCGGCTCTGGGACGCTGAAATGCTGCGCACTGAAGTACTTTCCTTAAGTCTCTCCTCCTGTAGTTGGAGTTTTGAGGGGATTTACTCGTCTGATATAGAACATTTCACTTTCCTTGAAGCACATGATTTAGTCCCATAACATTTACAGAAGGAAGGTAATTTGGGGTAAAGGGGAACTGGTTAAACGTGTTAAAAAAGCTGACCATGTAAGCCAACACACTTGAACAGACGGCCGCTCTGTGACGGCGTCCTCGGTGCGTGCTTGCTAAGGGCTTGTGGGGCACGCAGACATTTTTAGGACTGTTCAGTAGACTCTGGGATTTGAAACCTCACAGACAGAGCATGATTCATTTTTCCTAAATTCGATTCCAACAAGATACATTATTCATGAGGCCATAGGGAGAGGAGGAAACGATCTTCACGCAGTGTTATTTCAATGGAGAGACGTAGAAGGTACGGATGGAAACCAAGCAGTCAAACTTGGTACGGTTAATGGGAAGCCAGTCAGCACACGGTGCCACCCACAAGGCAGCCTTTCCAAAACCGTTCAGTCCGCACCTGATCGCACCTCTAGACCCGACCCCTTATGTTCTGCAAGTTCAAGTGACAGAGGAACAAGTTAAATGAGACATAAGGAAACACTTGGAGACGACTCCAGAATGTGGCACGTTCTCTAAGACAGTTGAGCTAAATGCTTCAAAAAGTCGTGGCATGGGAAACAAAGCAGGGCACTTTAGAGATTAAAAGAGACTTAAAGAGACAGAGCAACCCAATATATTTAT